TTTCTGGAGAATAACTTGTAAAACGATTGAAAACTCTAACAATTAACCAACATCAATGCCCAAATTTTTGGATAATATTTCAGCGTGTTTCAAATAATACTTTCTCCATTGGAAATCTTACCATTTGGGTGATGTTCTGTTTGTTTTGGAATGTGATATGTAGAAGTATAATCCATTCTTGATTGTTCCAAACTTTGGTAAATCATAGGATGAAACCTGTGTAAGTACTCAACTCTGCCTGAAGTACATAGACAGGATTACGTTCAAACTCATGGTCTACATTATGTTTAACATATTTGAAAATAGAGTTAAATAACAATGAGAAACCAATGTATTGTGTAAGTGGATATAGTGTCTTTTCATTTTAGAGCACCATTGCATATTTGTTTATAAAGATGAGTGCACAATCAACAGAGATACAACTTAAGATATCGCAGTTATATGTGTATTATTTGCGTTATACATATTTTACCTTGCAATACTATAAAGGGTTGCGATCTGTTTAACATAAGATCATACACATAAATATCATGCTCGCTACATTTTCCAATCTTATGTTATTATTTATTGCGTCTGTCCTATGGTATCTACAGTAATTCTTGTATTATTTGAATAATAAGATGTAACTTCAGAATGTGAGACCAAGGGTTGTCCACTCCTCTCTGCTCCAAGATTAAATGATGATATCACTGCAGCAGCAATATCTAATTCTGCATACAATGATTGGATCTTTGAGGCAATATGGAAAATTGCAGTTCAAAATATGGTGAGAAATACATTCGTACAAGTGTTTTCTAAATATTTGAAGGAGAAGATTATTAACCTCCAACTCAAACAAATTAAAATTACAGATTAGCACAAGGTGGATAATCTTGGTTGGGTGTTCTTCTCCAACAGTTGAATATCGGTACCAATACATTGCTAGGTTAACTCACCATTTAAACTCTAACATTATCTTTAATCCATTTAATTTCTTCTGGTGTAAGTTCATACAAAAGATATTGAACTTGTAGGAAATCCAACCTCATCTTTTCTCTGCATTCTTCTAATGGAATCTTAATAATATTTGTACAACAATTTGTCTGATTGGATCACTTTCATGTAAATTATTAAGGACGAAATCAATGTGTAAGCTTAATCCTCTTCTAACAGCTTCACTTGTTAAGAAAGTAAAAATGCGACTGTGATTGAATGTAATTGGTCTTGGCATTGTGCTTTTTTTTGTATTTATTGTATAGCAGAATAAACACACACGAATATGATGAAAAAAGACTTGATAGTGCAATGAATTTATTTTTATTTATTTTTATTTTTATTTAAATAAATTTAAACATTCATTTGAATACATTAAAATTAATTTTAAATATTTTTCATCCATATAAATAAATTCAAAATCCATTTCATTTTCTTCATCATTTTGATTAAATTGATAACTAACTTGATTAATATTAACATTTTTAGGTAATAAATAAATAATATTTTTACAAAAATATTTTCTTGTAAATTTATAAATATCAATTCCATTATGTTGATTATTATTAATTAATAAATCAAATTTTAAATTATAAATACAATTTAAATAATTAAATGTACCATATGGTGGTGCTAAAAATGTAATTATAGTATATTCCTTATTTGGATTATTATTTTTAAATTCATTTATAATATTATTAAAAGTATTATTTTGTAAATGATACATATAATCACCTTCTACTAATTTCATTTTATTTTTATTACATCCATATATAGAAATATTATTTATAGTATAATCTAATTTAATTTTAGAAATATCACATCCAATTACTAATTCTATATTTGGTTGTAATAAAAATTGTATCATATTTCCACCACATCCTGTAAATCCATCTATTAATATTATATTTTTAGAAATTAAATTTATTTTATTTGCAATATAAATTGCAATATTTTCAGGTGTTACTTCATACCAACTTGTTGTATCTATTTTTATACCATTGTCATATTTGGAAAATAATTTATATCTTTGTTTTATATATTTATCTATATTTATACTATTATCATTATTTGAAATTATATTACTATTATTATTATTTATATTATTATTTATATTATTATTTAAATTATTTAATTGATTTATATTATTATTTAAATTATTATTCAATTGATTTAAATTATTATTATTAAAATTATCAATAAATTTATTTTTAAAATTAATAATATTTGAATAATTTAATATTTTTAATATTAAATTCAATATTTTGATTAATAAAATTTAAATTTAAAATTAATTCAATATTATGATTAAAATATTGTTGTATCATAAATTGTAAATTATGATTTAAATAAANAAGTTAAATAATTATTTTCACCATGAAATTCATT